AAGGTTGTTTTAGTGTCAGCACTACATTACAACATATGCAATGTCAACAACAAATTACAACATATGCAACCCTACAATACCATTGACCATACACTTTATATATTGTTTTTTTTTCTCTTTTTGGCAGAATGATATTTTGTAGCAGGATGATAGTAACAGTAACTAACAAGAACTTTAATGCTATGGATTTTTTATACTTCACATTTTTGGGAAGGTATCCAAACACATACTGACCTGTCCACTTTACAACATGCAAAAAAAAAAGAACAATAATTAAATGCACCTTCTTTCTTTAAATTGACCTGTTTTAATAAGACATAAAACAATTAAATCTTTTGATAAATCATTCTTATTTGACATTATTTCAATCAGTAAAGCAAATATTCCTAGCCTGACTGACTAGTTCCAATAGTTTTTAATGCAAGCAAATGTAGGTGGGTTGGGGTGTGTTGGCTATGTAAACAGAACAAAGGCTGTGCATGGATTAATATACCAGATAAAACTTTTACAAAATAAAAAACTACATTTGATAGTTTTAAAGTTATAAATAGTGATTCCCACCTGCTTGCAATTGGAACATTGTCTTTTTTTTAACAGCCCTCAGAGGCCAAACACACTTTCCTATCCTATAATTGAAATCATCACATGTGACAGCCTGCAGCTATAGACTATATATGCACAAGTAAGTTTTCAAGGAATAATTACTGGTCACACTTCAGTAATGACTTGGAACTTAGCGATCGCATACCTAGCATGTCATTTCTATATATAATGTCTCTGCAAACATTTGAGATCACATGTGCTATTTTTAATTGAGCAGTACTGTAACAGAGATACTCATTATACGCATCTCAATGCTGCTCATCGTCCTTCCATTCTGCTATACTGTATGTGAATTGTATGCTAGTGTTTAGGTTGCATTTCCACATTGATCAGAGCTAGTATGTGGACTGTACAAGCCATAGAGAAGGTGCAAGGACAGGTAGGCAAGAAGGAGAATCCAGCATCCCTGACTCTTTAATGTTGTAGCAAAGGCTTTGCTGACATTACAGCTTCTGCACAGATTCTCGTATTTAGGCTGCTCAGTGGCTCCCTCTTCCCTGTTCTCATTTCCAGACCACAACAAGAAACAGTTAGCAAAGCCCTGACAGATCCTGGGAGGAGGACTCTGCCAAAGCTGAACTTTCCTCTGGCACTTGCCTTGCTGGCTGCACTGGGAGGCAGGCAATGAGCCCACCACAAGCCTGACCTCTTCCTGACTGCTCCAACTCCTCTCCCTGGCACTTTCATCTATTTATACCAGACTTGACCTCCATAAATTTACCATGCGTGCGTATATTGCATTACAACGCCCTGCACCTGCCCCCATATTGATGCATCAGCCTCCCTCCTGCTCATGTCAGTGTGCTATGTGTCATATATTACTTCTCTTTTTATTCTAAGTATATCGTTATGTACGCCAGCATACCGTGTTGCTTACGTACGGATCTGGTTCTACAGATGCCATGCCCTAGATACCAAGAGATAATGATTCTTCCGCGTACTGATTGCTTTTAAACATTATCGTCAATCTAGCTAGTAGCACGTTTGAACAGAGTCAATGCCATGCAGCAGTCCCATCATGTACTGGGATAATTGGTCCTTGATCACTCCTAGCTCCGCGCACGATGTATTTATCAGGTCCCAGCATCTTAACCCAATACATCTAGAGATTGGAGCGGATAATAGACGCCAGGGCTTGGAGTCTGTAATCTCTGCATTATACGATCACAGCAAGAAGAGTGTACAAGGCAGAAGAAGCACAAGAGCGAAGAAACACACAACACATGAGGAAAGAAAGTGCTGAAAAGACACCACTCACCTTAACAGGGGGTGTTGGATGGGGTCAGAGAGGAGGAAGGGTTGGTGCTGATTTTAGCAGAGGTTTGGTGAGATTATTAAACAGACAAGACAGAAGGGTTCAAAAGCAGGGAGGAAAAAAAAAGAGTATAAAATGAAGGAGGAGGGTATAATTATACTTGAGGTGGGGGAGGGAAGCAGAATTAAGTCTGTCAGTAAGAATAATCCCAAGTGGAAAAAAAAAATATCAAAGGCTGTTTAATGCAGAAGGGAACAGTTGCAAATCCAATCCGATTCCCACGTTGCTTTGCTTTCTCCCCTCTATTATGATTTGTTTGCAGATGATGCTGATCTACACACACAGTGAATGTTAGAAGAAGGTGAGGGTTGGATTTTTTTTTTTGTCTATAGATCCCAGACAGGTAAATGAGAAAACAAAGCTCCTTAGAAATGGGTCTTCAGAAGCTGAGTGTGTGCATTCCTGTATTGTGCAGCCTCTTCCCCTCCAATGTATGTGTCTCCTCTGTACCTTCAGCAGCCAGCAGAGCTCTCCAGGTCCCCCTTGTGATTTGCAGCTGCAGCTCAGTATATACTGGCACGTACAGCACAAAGAGGAGGCACAAGTAGGAGCGAGGGGCTGCAACCTCCACGCCTTCTTCTCATAGTCACTCATCAGCCCTGGATGCAGCCACTGATTCCAACATACAAGCATCCATCTATTCTCATGTGATCATCCAGGGAACACCGCCTGCTACAATAGGACCTAGTCAGATCAGCATTTAGTACAAATCGCACAGATTACTCGATTGTTATTAGACTGAAAAACAAACTGCTGTAGTGAAATGAAAGACATTGCATTAGAAAAGAGGTGCTACTATTGCTTTCATATTTATTGGAACCGTACGGAACCACTTGCCTGCCGGGCGCTTTCACCCCCTTCCTGCCCACGCCAATTTTCAGCGTTCTTGCACTTTGACGATTGCGCGGTCATGCAACACTGTACCCATATGAAATGTTTATCTTTTTTCATACAAATAGAGCTTTCTTTTGGTGGTATTTACTCGCTGCTGGGTGTTTTATTTTTTTTGCACTATAAACAAAAAAAGACCAAAAAAAAGGTTTTTCTGTGTTTCTATTAGAAAATTTGGCAAACAGGTATTTTTTTCTCTTTCACTGATGTGCGTTGATGAGGCTGCACTGATAGCCAGAAGTCATGGCAGCACTGATGGGCACTGATGAGGTGGCACAAATAGTCAGCACTGGTGGGCATTGATGAGGAGGCACTGATGATGCTACACTGATATGCAGCAATGGTGGACACTGATAGGCAGCACTGACTGACAGCTGTGACTGATGTCACTGACTGGGGGCACTGATGGGCAGCACTGATGGGTGGCTGGGCACTGATGGAAGAAGTTGCTGGGTGGCACTGCTGGGCAGCACTGATGGGTTGCACTGCTAGGCACTGGTAGGCGGCACTGCTGGGCACTAATAAGCAGCACTGACAGGCAGCACTGACTGGTGGCACTGACTGATAGCACCGACTGGCAGCACTGATGGGCACAGCTGATGGGTGGCACTGCTGGGCACTGGTGGGTGGCACTGATGGATACTGGTGGGTGGCACTGCTGGGCACTGATCATCAGTGTAGATCTGTTCTGTGACATTTTCTGGTTATTGGCAGTACCTTCCTTACACTATGACAACATGAGGAAAGTGCAGGCAGCTGATAACCGGCAACTGTATTTATTTAGAGATCTGCTGTGTCATTGGACACAGAGGATCAGAGAAGTCAGGATCAAACATCCTTTTTACACAATGCAGAGGATTAACCCCTTAGGTTCCACAGTGAGTATAGCAAGCATGCTTTGCTGCATATACAGCCTTTTGCCTAGTAGGACACAGCAATCACTGACAGCGGCGGGCATGCGCTGCTGGGGGCGTATCCTGGGAGGACATAGTATGACACCCTCCCTGGACTGGACAACCGCACTGTAGCTGTCTTTCAGCTATAGCACGGTTGTAAAGTGGTTAAAGTATTAATAAACCCCGGACCCTGCATTCACTATATCTGGTCTCCCAGGACCCTGCATTCACTATATCTGGTCTCCCCGGACCCTGCATTCACTATATCTGGTCTCCCAGGACCCTGCATTCACTATATCTGGTCTCCCACAGTACACACAACATGGAAATGCAATTATTTTAGTAAATATAAATGGCTAAATATCTTTTCTCATCAGCAGTTAGAGCAGTCTTGTGACTTCTATCAATGTACAGCAGAGCACATGTTTAAGTGTTACTAAACCCACAACAGTAAAATCAGTCTGTATATGCAATAAATCATGCTTGATATACTCTCTGTGGAACTTTAAGGGTTAAGTCTCTGCATTGTGTAAAAAGAATGTTTGATCCTGAATTCTCTGGTCCTCCTCTACTTCTATGTTCCCCATTTCATCTCCTGATAGAACACAGGCTCAGGGTCACTCTGCACATGCTCAGTTTGGTGTGTACTGATAGAGAGTTTTTTTTTTTGGGAGGGTGCATGTGATCAGCACAGGGCTAATCAGCACTGTCCAGGCAGAGGTCAGGGGTTATGCAATCTGATAGGGCAGTGAGAGGAGAATTAAAACTCCTCCTACGAGCTTTAACCAGTGCTCAGTTGGACACTGATTGAAGTCTCAAAACTGCTGATGAGAAAAGGTACTTAGCAGTTTATATTTACTAAAATAATTGCACTTCCATGTTCTGTGTGTATAATTGCACTTCCATGTTCTGTGTGAGACCTGATATACTGAATACAGGGTCCTGGGTTTAGTAACACTTTAAAGCTTGTAGGAGGAGTTTTCATTTTGCTTTAGGAGAATGCAGGACCCATGACCTCTGTCTGGACAGTGTTGATTGGCCCTGTGCTGATCACATGCACTCTCCCAAGAAAAAAAAAACAACTCTCTAGCAATACATGCCAAACTGAGCATGTTCAGAGTGACTCCAAACCTCTGTTCTGTCAGGAGATACCTAGGGGACAATGGAAGAAGGGGAGGATCAGAGAAGAAAGGATCAAACATCCTTTTTAGACAATGTAGAAGATTAACCCCTTAGGTTCCACAGTGAGTATAACAAGCATACTTTACTGCATATACAGACTGTTGTGGGTTTAGTAACATTTTAACCACCTGCCCTCCTGAACATTTACCCCCTTTCCTGGCCAGGCCATTTTTTGTGATACAGCACTGCGTCACTTAACTGACAATTGTGTGATCATGCAACGCTACACCCAAGTTACATTTACATCCTTTTCCCCCACAAATAAAGCTTTCTTTCGGAGGTATTTGATCACCTGTGCAGTTTTATTTTTTGCTCTATATATGTGATTTTGCGCACCTGTGCCGCCCTGCAGCAGTATTTCTGCTATAGGGTGACACAGAAGCAGAGTACCTAAGCTCTTGTTCACACTAGTGTCGCCACAACTTCCAGGCAATGTTGCTGCATGACTTCCCAACGACCAGGTGTGACTTCAAGACTACTTCAGTCCTGGTTCACAGTAGAATACCATGAAAGTCGTGCAACTTCCAGGTGACTTTGCTGTAGGACTTTGCAGTGACATTGTGCGACGTCAAAGCAATTCTAAAGCTACTTCACTGATAAGAAGCATTCCTATGCAACTTTGATGGGTCAGTGGTTTTTTTCAACCCTTACCTTTCCTCCCTGTTCATCTTTGCTACCTAAAACCTTCCTTCCAGGCACATTCTATTCACACCGGAGCGTAGAAAAAAAAATGTTCGCGCTCACGATTTGTAGCACATTTTCAAGCGTAAACATGTGCCACATATAGGACAGCCCATACAAATGCCCAAATGTAGCTCTAGAATGTTTTCAGCCGTGGGACCAGGGGCGGACTGACTATTTGGAAACTTGGGCACTGCCTGAGGGCCCAGGGTCAGTAGGGGGCCCCATGAGATGCCCCTGGTACCTTTTTCATAGGCTTTTTTGAGTTTGGGCAAGGACACAGGGGCCCCATGATCCCCTATCGCCCGGGGGCCCCATGAGTTGTCAGTCCGCCCCTGCATGGGACGTCACATTTATTCACGCTTTTAGCATGTTTTTGAGGCTGCATTTACATCTGTATGTTTCCGAATGCGTGGCAACCACAGAGAAAACGCATGCTTTGACACGCATTCAAAAAATGCATTGCAAATGTGATTGTGTTGCCATAATGGCAAGGCAAGCGCAATACTCGTTTTCCCAAATGTACGGCAAAGCATGCGTTTCATTTCAAAATGTGCAGCTGAGAACGCAGCCTAAATGGTACCCTAAGCATGTCGCACATTGCTGGGCATTTTTTAAATGAATGGCAAAATGTGCATTTTCTTGCAGATTGCTGTGTGTTTTTCGGAAACTCCCAGATGCAAATGAAAGGTAACAAGTGCAACACACGTTGCTGTGCATTTTTGAAACAAACAGTAAAATGCACATTTTCTGTGCGGGTTGCCATGGGTTTGGAAATACACAATAGGCGAATGCAGCCTAAATGGTAACGCAAGTGTGACGCATTGCCACGTGTTCTCAAAACGCACAGCAAAGCGTGCATTTTTGTGTGCGGGTTGCTGTGCATTTGGAAATGCGCAGATGGGAACACTGCCTAAATGGCAATGCATGCACGATGCGCTTTTACTGTGAGTTTGCACAATGCAGATTGCCACACATTCAGAAACACGCAGATATGATTGCCAGCTAGTTGTTATAACACCCCAATCATGTTCACAGGCATGTGTTTTGCTGCCCAAATGTGCGCAATGCTCCACAAACAAAATGGTTCTTGAGCTACTTTGTTGAGTGGGAACGTGTGCCTCCGCTATGCTCAGATGTGAATTGGGAGGAAGGCAGCAAGGATGACCAGGGAGGGTTAAAAAAAAAAAAAAAAAAGATCTTGGGACTCAGAAGCCTCAGCAAAGATTTTACATTCAAGTCTAAGGGAATCTCCCAAAAGCAGTGCAAAAAGAAGGTTTTTTTTGTCGACGTGTCTCAAGTCACGGCAATTAAGACTCAAGAATTAAGATTCAAATCTATGTGTTTTCCCTTGACCTGCGATTTTACGTGTCGCCAGAATGTTGGAAGTCACTGAAAAATCGCTCTAGCATGAACCAGGGCTAAACCCAAGAGCAAAAATGAATAGCATTGCAGCTTACCAGTGGTTACATTCATTTTCTTTTTCTTCACATTTTCTTTTATTTTAACCTGGTAATCCTGCCATTTTAAGTTTAAACTTGCATCTAAGCTGCTGTACCTCCTAAAAGTAATTTGCATTCAAATTGCTTTCAGAGGCTTTTGACAGGCAGTGAGGAGGTAATATGACACTTCTTTGTTTCCTTTTTCAACGCCATAAATGCTGCATCAATACATCACACATATGATGCGTTTGCTGTGCATCCATATTCATTTGCTTGGGTCAGTACTGCCAGCGAAAATGCACTGGGAGCAAGGCATGAAGCAAAGCATGTTAACTCCCACGTCTGCTGCCTTTGCAGCTTAAAGCAGAGTTCCACCCAAAAGGGGAAGTTCCACTAAAGATTGGTCCCCTGCTTCCCATTAAGGATTGGCACCTTTGGGGAGCGGGGGGGACAGGTACCCGAATTTGACAGGTAACCACTCCCACTTCCGCTGTGATAGGCAATCGGAAACAGAAGTTGTCCTCCTACCCTCCCTCCCCAAAGTCTTGTGGGACACGTGACAGGTCCCAGAAGACGATGGGGCCATTCAGGAAGCGCAGCTCTTACTCACGCATGCGCAGTGGGCACACAGCTGTGAAGCCGCAAGCTGTCACAGCCAGTTGCCCACACTGAAGATGCCAGCGCCCGTAATACAGGACGGACGGTGAAACTGGGCTGCAACGTGGGGGCAACGTGGGATCTTGGGACAGGTGAGTGGCTGCTTTTTAAAAGTCAGCAGCTACAGTTTTTGTAGTTGCTGACTTTTATTTTTTTACAGAGTGAGTGGAACTGTGCTTTAAGGGGGGGGGGGCATTAAAATGCAGCTGAACCCCCAACTGCAGGTCTAAACAAGCCCCAACACACTTACTGTCCTAGGGTGGCAACCATATTGAGCAGCATTGTCACCTTAGTGCAGGGAGAGCATTAGGACTACACAATACCTCCCTTGCTTCTCCATAACAAGGGGAGGTGTTTTGTAGTCCACAGATAACACAGGGAGCAAAGCAAAATAATAGCAGTACAGAGTCAGGGGGCACAGAAACTTTTCAGTTCACAAGATTTCTTTTTCTTTTGCACTTGCTGAACAGATACATTATAATAAAGTTTTTTCAACTGCGTATTTAACAGACCAAAAGAGAGCAAGTAAGAGAAATGTTTTGGTCAAGCGTACATACACATTAAATACATTCGGTAGAGTGGATTACATACCAAGTTTATAGAACAAAAATACCCATATCAGATCTTTTTTTGCTAGGTTATAATTAATCACAAATATTAAATGCTCAAATGAAAGGCCACCTTCTGTAATATAATTGTAATATTTTATACCCTCACTGCTACCATCTCCCTACTACTGCTCTCATCACCTCCTGCTGATACTTCACTCTCCTGCCGACCCAAACATCAGGACTGGAAGGCATTTGCGCTCGTGTACATCCAGCTCCCATCTTACTTTCCTCACCCTTCTTCTTCTCCTAACCTCTGGGGATATCTCCCCAAACCCTGGTCCCTCACCACCTCACTCACCCACTAGGCACCCTCCTACTCCCACAACCCCCTCAACCTTCTACCTGTCCCCCTCCTCCCCGCATCCACCCCTCCAATTCAAACTACTAACACAGACATACAAAGCCATTCATAACGCTGCCCCAAACTACCTCACCGACCTGATACCCAAATACCACTCAACCCGTAATCTTCTCTCCTCACAAGACCTCCTACTCTCCTAGCTCCCTAGTCTCCATCTCCCACGCCCAACTGCAGGACTTCTCCAGGACTTCCCCCATCCTCTGAAACTCACTACCCCAATCCATCAGACTGTCACCTACCCTCCTCACCTTTAGGCGCACCCTGAAAACCATCTCTTTCAGGGAAGCCTACCCCACCCTCACCTAACAGCCATCTCACCCACTCCTCCGACCACTCCATCCCCCACAGCCACTTCCTCCTGTACCACTATCCCCTCCCTCCTAGATTGTAAGCCCAAGGAGCAGGGCCCTCGAACCCCTCGTGTATTGTATTGTTACTGTATTGTCTCATGTTCTGTCCCCCACTATAATGTACAGCGCTGAGCAAACCTTTTAGCACTATATAAATAATACTGTATAATAATAATATATGTAATATGGGGAAGGAAAGTCAATAGTATCTATTAGAATATTTTTCTTTTATGTTGTGACTAGCCTTTGAATTATCCATTGTAAAAAACGTGTGAAATTTACATGGATCCCCTTTGAGATTTGGTAGGAAAAGGTGGGAAAAGGATATTTCTATATGAGCATTCCATAGAAAAGATTATTGACACTTTCAAACTGCTGCTCAGCAGTTTTTTCCGCAGCACAGGTGTAATGCAGTGTACCCACAGTTTTCATTTGGGTTACTCATGGTTTCCTATAGACTTTTTATTATGTCCCACATTTTTTACACATTTTCTGAAAGTGCACCAAAAATGCAGCATGCAGAACTTTTAATGTGTTTTCAGAAAATGCACAAAAAACACAGGACATAGTAGAAAGCCTATGGGAAACCTGCACTGCAGCCAAACAGCAATGCCGCAGTGTGACAGTGGCCTATAGTATATCTATGACAAAAACGTCTTTTTTATTTTAGATAGTATGGGGAGGGTAAAGCTGACCATATATTTTGCAAATTCAACCAGTTCCTGATGATGCCTATGGGAAACCCGCACGAAAACCGTGGGTACACTGTGCTGCACCTGCACTGCAGCCAAACAGCAATGCCGCAGTGTGACAGTGACCTATAGTATATCTATGACAAAAACGTCTTTTTTATTTTAGATAGTGTGGGGATGGTAAAGCTGACCATATACTATGCAAATTCAACCAGTTCCTGATGATGTTCCCTGTTGCCAACCTCCCGCCCGACACCCTTTAAGTGAAACATTGAAAGAGCTGGGCGAAAAATTGTCAGCCCAATAGTGCCGTCATCCA